GGTCAAAATCAATATCAATAGGTCACCTAAGTGACTCTAAAATATGTGAAATAATCATGAATGTTAGAAATTCAATATTTTCAAGTACATTTCAATTCATGCTGGTCATGAAACTGCACTTGCAAGTCTACTCATCTATATACAGAGACACACACTTTACTTACTATGTTCCAAGAAATGAGCTAATCCGGGGATATTGGGTGGATCCGAGAAGCTTCCATTGGAAATACACAGTGCTGCTGCTGACTGTAAGACACAAAATAAACTAATCTCAAGAGCAACATGTTATTGATTTTCAAAAATATTACTAATCATTCTAAATTACTAAATTGCAGAGAAACCAATAGATGGTGATTTTTTTTTAGTTTTCAACAGTAAGCTATCTTTGATAAGGAATAGTTTTACAGTTTGAGCTCTATCTTGTGTTTCAACATTTTTTGCTAATGTTGAATATAATCTGAGATACACTGTACTAACCTTCTTTTCTCCCCCTTCCTCTTTTCCACATTCATCTTCCTCCTCCATTTCTTCCTCATGATGACCTTCCTCCTCCTCCTCCTCATTTCCATCTTGTTCCTCATCCTCATCATCCCAAGGTGCCTCATCTGCCTCCTCCTCTCCCTCCAGTAAGTCTGATATCAAGATGGCTTGTAAACCATTGTCAAGGTTAATCCATCTGAAAAAAAAAACACTCTCTGACTAAGAAGTTATAAAAATTCATACTTCAGAGTAATTTAACCCAATTAAGATTTAAGGTAATGGCTATATTCATATTAGATTGTCATCACAACTTCGGAGATATATGTGTTTGATGAAGCAGTTTTGGTAGATAAACATTATGATGATCCTTGTAATTCCTCAGAATACAAATGAACACTGTGAGCATGGTCAACAAATATCAACACACAGTCTTCACGAAAACTCACTAGCCCGACGCCCGAGGCTAGTAAAAATTGGTCTGGGCTAGTAAAAATTGTTTCAGAAGTAGCCCGACTGGCTAGTGAAAAGTAAGCAGGTACTTTGAGAGTTTTTGCTTTTAAATCTTAACCAATAAATAAAATCAAGGCACTGTAGTCCTATTCTTCAGAAAACTCCCTCATCTAATTCACGTAGCACTACTTGATAGTCTATTTTTCCATAAAAACGATCGTCTTTTTTTCTCTAATCCGAATTTCCTCTGATCGATCGTTTATGGTAAATAACATGCAGAAATCCCATTTAATTAATTCTGATTACTCATTTAATTGAAGAGTAAAGGATTACATGAGTTTATAATTTATATTAACAATGTATCTCAAAATTTGATATGAAAAAAGTCACTTCTTTGGGAGAGAAGTCTAATGACCAGAAAAGGGGCTAATGTACAGTACATGTACATTATCAAAAAGCTAAAAATACTTGTTTGTTCAAATTAATTTAATCTTTATTAATGATAACTGATTTATTTATGATTCAAATGAGGCGAAAAACAAAATTATTAAGCAGAAGAAATACAAAAGAAAATTTAGGAATTTAAATGGTAAATTCTGCAATTTCATTTCTTTTATTTTCTTTTTTTTCGTTGGCTATTAAAATTTTCTTTGGGCTAGTAATACTGTAAAATCCACTAGCCCTACTGGCTAGTGTCTCAGAAAAGTTTTCGTGAAGACTGAACACAGATATACCGTTACTGACCAGAAAACCGTGGTTATAAGTAAAACAACATTTTATAGGTAGGGTTTAATCTCTGTTGAGAGTCTGTTGGGCTACATATTTGGACTGAGGCGGGCATCAGTCCAAATATCTAGCTCAGCAGAATCTCAACAGAGATTAGGCAGGGTCTTGACCAATTAAGCTGTCAAAAGAGAACTGTCAACATGCATAATTTGCTTGTTAAGAAAGACAAAATGCACATAACTTGAAGTCATGTGGCCATTATTAAAGCAATTTCATATCAAATATTGTACACTTTTCAGTAATTGACTTACTTTTTTCAATTTTTATTTTTTTTACCTGTAATTTCTTTTGTCATTTTCTGATTTCACAATATTTATATGATGCTTCATTCTGACGCTGTAACTTCTGGTAGACCGGACAAGCTCGGAAGACCTCTTAAAAGCGTTAAATTTCGGATATTTGTTTTGCACCTTACTGACAAAATCTAAACACCTAATAAAGCACCTTTTCATGTGTCGCCTTTATTGACACATGTTTCAATAAATTTGTTCAATGTTGATTACGAGCTTCTTTTTCATCATTTAAATCATACATTAGAAAACACTCAGACGATCTAGACACAAGGTGATATTGTAAAAGTTTAGTTCGATACGTGATGACCATTCCGGAGTGAATGTCTAGCTAAAGTTTTAATGTAAATTGCATTGATTTGTATCTTTTCAAACTATTGAACATTATGCTCTATGAAAAATTGCCTTTGTAACATCATTTTTATAAACATTTTATACCTTTTCTTTTTTCAAATTAATATTGAAACTCTTTTTACAGTGAGGCTGATATGTTAAAAGGTTGCCAAATGTCGAGATGGTATGAAACCAATTTTTGTCAATTTTACAAAAAGTTAAACACGTACAAAATGTATTTATCCATTTATATCTCTGCTTTAACGGACATTTTTTTGTTGACAAATATTTATTTGATAATAAATAGGCATTTTCGTTATTTTTCTGACTGCGAAATGATTAATTTTCAGTGTGAATCATCAGAAACACCAACAAGAACTTACCTGGATTCTGTCACTGCCAGATTTGAACAGCAATATTTAGAGAGACAAAAGAAAGTGAGAATAGCAAAATTTATTATTAGTTTACCTAAAATAAAGGTTCAACTGGATGCAGATTTTCAAATCGGCTCAGTGCATTCGGTAACATGTCTGTCTGTTAAATAATGATTATGTTTTGGGCCTTGGATGTAGACTGTTTTATGGTAACTGCAGTACTGCTCTTTTGCCGCGCAAAATGATATAGTTTGGTGTAATATGACGTAAAAGTAATTGTTAAATATACATAATTTAATTATCTCCCAACAAAAACCTTGCCAAACATTATATTAATATAGTACCGCAGTTACCGTGAAGGGGCTAGTTGGTCTGAACATGCTGAATGGCTTAGTCAGTAAACCACCTCACTAAAGGATTCAAGGGGGGGGGGGGGGTCTTGAGTTTGATACCAAGTGTTGTCAATCACATTTCTCTACTCCTGTGTAAATATTTGCCAATATTTTTTGACATGCATGTACCATGCCTAATTGGAAGTGACAGGTGAAAGACCTGCTGGTGTTGATGTCTTAATTTAGCAGCTGTTTAGGGGAAGGAAACCTCAAAACAAGGGAGGAAAGTAGTAGTCAGTGGGGTTCAATCGCTGGTGACCAATTTGTTCAGTAGATACAACACCTGACTAGTGATACAGGGGATTTGTATGGTTTTGAGATGGATTCCTGGTCAAAGCACTATTAATTTTTTCTCCTTTCCTGCCTAGACCACCTAAGGACTTGCAGCTAGATGAAAGTTGTTCCAGGGGCAGTAAGAACTCTGATTGTGACTTAAGCAAAGACTGTGCACATGGATGCTCTGTCAGTAAAGCACCTAACAATAGAAATTGTGGGGCCTGCATTTGAATCTATTGTCATTATCTGCTTTCATGTTAGAGCTTTTACATTTTAACTCTCTATTGATTTTATTATTCAAATTGTGGCTAAATAGTAAAAACATGTACATGCAGTAAGTGGTTAAAATTAGGTTGGTTACCAGATAGTTAGATACACACAAATTTTCTTTTTGTTACCTGGCATAAAACTATGATAGATTACGTCAATGCAAACAGGAGACAAGCTTCAAGCATGTAGAGGGATAATGAAACAGGAATCCTTATCTTAATTGTTATATTCAAGTCATATAAAGTCAAAGTTACTATCGAAAGTGAGACCAAGATAGACATAAGCTTAGATTTCTTTTTTACTCAAATAGCTATCAAGGCCTGTAGGCTTCATGTTTATTCTTGGAAGTATATGATATACTCTGATTTCATTAATATATTTGACATTTTTTTCTTCATTCAATGCATTGAAAAAAGGACTGGCAGATGTACAGGGGCTGTCAAATAGATTTTTAGGGCACTTGTCCAAGGGCAAGTACATGGTCAAAATTGACTTGCCCTACCTGAATTTTGGCTTGCCCTACCATAAATTAATTCTGTATACATGTATACAGATATTTTTCAAAAAAAAGAGGAAGACAAATGCAGAGTAAATCATACAAGCCCCTATGCCCAGCTTTAAATTTATGGCCTACAAATATAATTCTATTTTTGATAAGTCACTTGCCCACGGGCAAGTGGTTGATAAAATTTCACTTGCCCACCCCTAAAATTCACTAGCCCCAGGCGTCGGGCAATGGGATATGTCATCCCCTGATGTAATACTTTTAAGTGCCTATGTTACAGTGTAAGTAACAAAATATATAAATTATAATTTTATTATTATAGATAGAGAAAAAGAAATGCCAGAGAGAAGTGGAGCTGGCCCACAGTCGGTATTTGAAACAGAATGTTGTGGATTCCCAGGAGATGGGGCATGCCAGTTTTGTGGTGGGAACTTGGTCTAAAAAACATGGTAGGCAAGAAAATTTCAGGTTTGAAAAGTCAGTTTTCCTTGTTAGATTTTAACAAGTAATTTCAGGAGAAAGATAGATTGCTCATGAAATTTTCATTCTAACGTACGTACTTTTATCATAAATTAAGAATATTACATATGTAACAGAATTAATAACATTTTTTTAACATAAGTAATGGACAAATAAGGTATAGCATAAATTTGGTGATTTGCATCACTGTACACTCCTTAAGTAATGTGAAGTGAAGTGTAAACATTTTTATTACATGAATTGCTTACAAAAAGAATGAATTTGTAAATAAGTAAAATTACCTAAACTCTATCAAAAATTTAACAATCTTTAAATCATTTCCTTAAATTTGCATATATGCATTTGTTACCATGATTACAGATTGTGTCATTTATATCCTAATTAGAAAAAAACCTGAATATTAAGGGAAAAAAATCTATGTTTCAAAAATTCAATTGTTACAATTTACCATAAATGAATTAAGCAATGCAACATTTAGAGGTAGCATTGGCAATGTACAGTCTATAATACCAGGTACCTTCCCATTCTCTTTTAATCTAGGAGACATAGAAAAGAAATGGAAAATTAAAGACAAGAGGGAAAAGGAAAGAATTGATGCCCGGTTTTCTCCTTATAGAAGTTCACCTTCCAATCCCAGGAGGCAAAGTACCATACAGAAAAAAAGAACTGGTACTCAATCACAAAACTTGGTGGAAAATCACAGGCAGCAAACACCAGCATCAAGCTCCTCTTCAGCAGTAATTTCATTGGATGACAGCCTGGAGGAAGTGAAGATGATTGGACGGGATGAACATATAATCTGTCCTGTTCTATATTGTGAAGTAAAGTTCACTTCCCAAAATAAACTGGAGCAACATATGAGAGACTTTGATCATTCTCCCATTAATCCTTGCTCAGAGAATCTAGATGGAACATTGACAGGAATAAAGGAATACACTTGTACTAACTGTGGTGCTTCCTTCGAGGTAAGTGTAATATTTCAATATATAGTGTAAAAGTTCACAGTAAGGTTAATAATCTATTCCCTTGATTGATGAATATATGTTTTTATTAAAATTGATGAGTCATTTAATGCTTTAACTTTTCATTTTTATAAAAGTCTCATGATGTTCCAGTAAGAAATCCTGGAAATTTCTATTTTATAACCTTTTCTTTGTAATCAAGAATAAAATTCTTTTTTGATTTAATTGCCTGAGAGTAACAATGGTTGATAGCAAGTAAAAATTGAATAATGGGTGAAAAAAGTAAAATATGAGGAGTATAGATTCATTACAAAGTGCAATAAAGTTTACAGCAAGTGTGTCAAGATCGTCACGTGTCGTACATTTTAATTTCTGGATACAAGATTAAATATCAAATACAAAAAAGAACCCAATAATAATTCTGTGAGGTTGATGACATACCCACCCCAGGTTAAACTTGCTACAGCTTTTTATACCTAAAAAAAAGTATGAAGTTGGCACTATCCAAGGTAATTTGGCAGCAACTGAAAATGCTTAAATGAGGAGTCTTAACAACAAGTCACATGTTAAGTACAATTTACAAGACAGACAGACTTTGTATTCCTTTGGAATAAATAATCTTGTTGTCGATCTATGCACCTAAATATAGCTAATCCCTATTGCAGTTCTCTCTGTAATTAGCCATTATTCAGATGGATTAGACGAGAGATTTGACAGGTTGTTTATTTCCCATTCACAAGTCCAATGTTAGGATTTAAACCATAGAGGAATAAGATTAATTCATATAAATCCTATAATCCGTTTTAGTTTGACATTGAATTCCCTTGCAACATCAATGGTGAAAAATGAGCACATGTACAATGTACTGTAGGATTTATTGACTTAATGTTACACTTGTGTTGTTATGCAAATTGATGTATATCCATTGCATAAAAAATTTCATAAAAAGGGGTCAAGGCAACAAAATGTACGAAAAGGATTATGAGTTACTAAATTTTAATAATGCAAAGTTTAAAAATGAGGTTGGAAGTTCAGCACTTTAGATTTAAATTTAAAATCTTTTACCTATATCCCATGTGAAGGTTTATAAATACATGTATTTAAAACATTTTAATATTTTTTTCTCATTCTACTTGAGTTAGAGATTAAGTTAAAAATAGATTTTTTTTAATTTATTGCAATTAAATACCTGGCCGCAGCAATTGCTGAAAATCATGATTTCGTATACTTTGTGATGATCTGTAATTAAAATGATAACATTTCAGAGCCGGGAGGGGTGGGATAATCACCATGATGTGGAGGGACCCTGCTCCTCCCCCAAACTCCTGACAGTGACCGGGTATCTCTGTCCCAGAACTCTCAGTATCTTCGCCTCCAAGGAAAAGTGTGCAGCCAGCATCCAAAGAGGAACTTCAGACATTAAATTCCCATTTAAGGGTATGGGACAATTTTTTTTAAAAAATCTGTATTTCAAAAAGTTTATTAGATTCAGTTGTGTAGTATTTTTCAAATACAGTTAAACCTTGTCATCTGGAACTCGAAGGCACCTTGAAAAAAAATTCAAGATATCCAAAGATCTGAGATATCAAGGGTAATAAAATACTTAAAGAATTAGTATTTGGGATATCCACATAACTCTGATAAATCCACTGTATTCGAGATATTAGTGTTTTAGATACCAAAATTCTGTATGTTTGGTTC